CAGGCAGGGCGCTGTGTCATGGTTGTGAGGTGGAGTGGAGCGGAGCTGTGAGTGCGCACCGATACGCTTTTGTTTTTTGTAATGTATGTAATGACCAATACCATCCAAGCGCCGCTCGCTTTGTTCCAGCTTAAGAATCATATGTATTTATATCTCTCTATCTTGATGTCACTATGCCAAGTTTAAATAAACGGAAAATCACTCCCATCTACGAGTCGTCGTGAAAGGTTTCTAAATATTCGTTTTCGATATTTGGTTTTTAGCATATGGTACCTTAAAAGACTTAACAACTCAACATAAATGTACAGAAGTGATGTTAAGGTGTCGGCTAGCCTGTGAACTCTCGCTCGATAAGGGTCAGGAGAACCAAGCACTAGACCAGAAAACTGGATATTTATTTTTTTCCATTCAGTGCGTGAACTGCCATGTTATTGTGACTCATGATTCATTCATTCACACCTTGAGTGCTAACATAGCGGGGAACTAGGGGAAGAGGCAGGCAGCACCGTAGACAACCAATCTCGTCCGACTCGCATCCGCGTTTGCAGAATACGCTAAATATCTCGCGCCCCGGCGGCCCCGCGAGACACGCGCACCTTTTCCTTTACACCTGTTTGATTTGATTTAACACGTCGAGTCCCACGTGGCCACATTTTGTTGTGATCGACATCCACCTGAAACATCAAAAGGGAATAGGAAATAGGAAATAGGGAATATTAATTAAACTTCGATTCAAAACAAAAGTATCCAATCCTTTTTTTTTAAGGAAAGAGGTGCGTCGTTTGCAGTGAAAGTCAACTTTTTTTTTGTTTGTGATTTATGACCCAATCACTTTGAAGTCAATCGTCCAGCTTCTAGCAAATCGATTCCCGATCAGACCAGCTCACGCTCAGTGCGAACGGCGCTGGCAGGGAGCGCGGCACATGTTACTCGGTAGGAACACTCGTATGCACCGCGATTGTCGTGCCAGTGCTGTTTGAAACCCCTCGGCGTACTCCATTGTTTGACAAGGTGTTCTCTCTCGCTTTAGCTCTGCGTTATTCGCCATTATATTGCCTTATTGCGTGGGCAGCAGCCGTTTCGCATCCCCCCCCCCCGCCTCTCTCCCCTCC